CCCCAAAACCCCAAAACCCCAAAACCCCAAAACCCCAAAACCCCAAAACCCCACACGCCTGAACAAATATAGAAAAAACATAAAAAAATAATAATAAAATGGAAGATATGGCCAAAGCTATCGAAGAAGAGAACATCAAAAAAATCAGGTAATCGAGAGTTTAACTTTAGGACACTACAGTTTTCTGTCTTATAATCTCTCCCTTGCTTCAAATTTTAATGTTGAAAATAAAATTTATCAACTTCTATTATAATTACATCAAAATTCTTGAACAAGAAGCTATTGCTTCGACTGAAGATAATTAGTCGTCTATATCTCTTTCAAATCTGTTTGATACTTACTAAGATAGCATTTACTTCTAAAACATCAGACTTTAGATTTATTTATGTTCCAATTAACATTCCTTTATTCCTCTATTCCTCTATCTCTAACTTTCTGACGAATTCTGACATTTACCCAACTCCTTTGTTAATCTTTAATTGTGCAGTCTAGAGAAGTTTATCCTGGCCAAAACTAAGAAACGAGATATCACCATATGACAGAGCATTTTCTATAATATTTTTGCATATGAAAAAGAAATTAAGTCATTGGAATCGGACTCTGAAGAAATTTCGAGGAAAAATCATCTTTCCATTAATTTGAATGATCTTAGAATTGTGACTTTTGTAAAAAATTTGAAGAATCTCAAATCCTTTGATACAAATGAGATTGATTTTTACCATGTTGATTCTAAAAATAAAGATTTTATAGACTTTTTAGAATTCTCATTCCCAAATAAAACTAATGAGCTTGGCTTTCAACCCTGGAATCAAATGAAATTGAATAGATCCAATTATACCTAAATCCCTGATCAGGCTCAGTTTTAAAGTCCTTAAAGAAGCAACATTCGATACTTTCTCAATTGGTCTGCCCCAAGTAAAGAGGCTGGTTGCAGCTTACAAGCATGTGGGAGCTCTTATTTTTAAATACTGCATTTTTTCTATTCCAAGTGTTCCAGATTTTTCAAAGGCTCTCACAAACTGCCAACTACAGAAACTAGTCTTCTTAGGATCAGATTTCTCTAATTCCAGTGACGAATCAAACACCCTTAGCCAGTTCAAGAACTTAGTACAAGGGCTAGCAAGTTCTTCAGATTTAAGACTGAGTCTCAAAGAAGTAAAAATCAATTTCTGGGGAATAAGCCACAATGAAGTTAAACAATTTTTTGAAAAGAACCAACTTGGAGATGTTAAAATAATTAGTGACTAATAAATTTGGGTGATTTGGTTCAAAATTTGGCTGTAGGTCTGTAACTTTGCTAAATTTGGCATTTGGTGGGTTTTTAATATGCTTTTGAGGTTCAATTGAGGTTGTGTTTGTGGGGTTTTGGGGTTTTGGGGTTTTGGGGTTTTGGGG